GGAAGGTGTCTTAAGGAAACACATACTAATGTTTCCACCCGTACTGGGGATCGAACCCTGTACCTCACTGTGTAAGCTGAGTGCGCTAGCAATCGAGCTACGGGACATGAAGATGAAACACAACATCTGTTTAAAGTCGGGAAGATTGACTTATAAAAGCCTGGTCCATGACCAGGCCTCCCGATGGATCAACTAAGCTGTTACTGCTGGCCGCACGCAGTCCAACGTACGAGCCACAGCCCGGCTGATCCGGCACTGACTTTACGTATCTGTCCAGCTCTCTCTTGAAGGCAGCCAGGGATTTATTAGCAATTCCCCTAATGCTTGATGGGAGGCTGTTGAACAGTCTTGGGCCCCGGACACTTATGGTGTTTTCTCTTAGTGTACCAATGGCGCCCCTACTTTTTATTGGGGGCATTTTGCATCGCCTGCCCAGTCTTTTACTTTCGTAGTGAGTGATTTCTGTGTGCAGATTTGGGACCATTCCTTCCAAGATTTTCCAAGTGTAGATTATGATATATCTCTCCCTCCTGCGTTCCAACGAGTACAAGTCAAGTGCTTCCAAGCGTTCCCAGTAGTTAAGGTGCTTGACAGAACTTATACGTGCAGTAAAGGATCTCTGTACACTCTCTAGATCTGCGATTTCACCTGCTTTGAATGGAGATGTTAATGTACAGCAGTATTCCAGCCTAGAGAGACCAAGTGATTTTAAAAGGATCATCATTGGCTTGGCATCTCTCGTTTTGAACATTCTCATTATCCATCCTATCATTTTCTTTGCACGTGCGATCGTGGCACTGTTGTGATCCTTGAAAGTGAGATCCTCAGATATTACTCCCAAGTCCCTTACATTATTTTTCCTCTCTATTGTACGGCCAGAGTCTGCAGTGTATTATAATCAAAAAGAAGCGCTAAGCCACAAGGGCTATACAGCAGTCTGTAGTGTACTCTGTTCTAGTTATTATCTCCTCCAGTTTTCCATAACGGAGTAGTTGGAATTTGTTCTCATTGAACATCATATTGTTTACCGTTGCCCACTGGAAAACTTTGTTTATATCTTCTTGGAGGTTAACCGCGTCCTCAGCAGATGACAGCCTCGTGCAGATCCTAGTATCATCCGCAAAGGATGATACGGTGCTGTGATGTATAGCTCTGTCTATGTCTGATATGAGGATGAGGAATAAGATGGGGGCGAGTACTGTGCCTTGTGGAACAGAGCTCTTCACTATGGCAGCCTCCGATTTAACTCTGTTGACCACTACTCTTTGTGTTCGATTTGTTAGGAAGTTGAAGATCCATCTCCCCACTTTCCCAGTTATTCCTTTAGCACGTATTTTATGGGCTATTACGCCATGATCGCATTTGTCAAATGCTTTTGCAAAGTCTGTGTATATTACATCTGCATTCTGATTTTCTTCCAGTGCATCCAAGGCCATGTCATAGTGATCCAGTAGTTGTGAGGCAGGAGCGACCTGCCCTGAAAACATGTTGCCCTGGATTGTGCAGATTTTGGGAATCCAGGTGATTTGCAATCCTGCTTCTTAGCACTCTTTCAAAGATTTTTATGATGTGGGACGTCAGAGCTATTGGTCTATAGTTCTTAGCTAATGCTTTGCTGCCACCTTTATGGAGTGGGGCTATATCCGTCGTTTTAAGTGACTGTGGAATTTCACCCATATCCAAGCTCCTCCTCCATAGTGTACTTAGGGCACGCGAGAGAGGTTTCTTGCAGTTCTTAATGAAAACAGAGTTCCACGAGTCTGGGCCCGGGGCTGAGTGTATGGGCATGTTGTCAATGGCTTTCTCGAAATCTATCGGAGTTAGGGTAATGTCGGAAATCTGGCATACATTTATGGAGTTTTGAGGCTCATTCATGAAGAAATCATTTGGGTCGTCGATCCTCAGACCGATTAGTGGTTCACTAAACACAGAGTCGTACTGGGATTTCAATATTTCACTCATTTCCATCCTGAGTAAGGGCCCGATACTAGATGTGGTATTTGCCTTGTTTTTGGCATATGAAAAGAAATATTTTGAATTTCTTTCAATTTCACTAATAGCTTTGAGCTCCTCCTGTCTCTCCTGGTTCCTGTAAGTCATTTAACTTAAGTTCGATAGTTTCTGCTTCCCTGGTCAGCGCCTCCTTTCGTGTATCAGATATTCTAGCACTCCTGAGGAGCTCAGTGACTCTTCGTCGTCTTCTGTAGAGGGAGCATCTCTCTCTCTCCAGTTTACTCCTGCTCTTCTTTCTTAGGGGAATATGCCTAGAACATGCTTCAGCTGCCAGGAAGTTGATCCTTTCAAGGCACTGGTTTGGATCCATGTCATTTAAGATATCTTCCCAACATGTTTCGTTTAGGACATGGTTTACCTGGTCCCAGTTGATGTTCTTGTTGTTGAAGTTGTATTTTGTGAAGACACCTTCACAGGTACATGCATTCTGCTGATCAGGACCCCTATGCATGTACGTCTGGACTTCGATTAGGTGATCGGAATTAGTTGTTTTTGATATTCTTGTGTCTCTTATCAGGTCCTCATTATTTGTGAAGATAAGGTCAAGTGTGCTTTCTAGTCTTGTTGGCTCCACTATCTGCTGGCTTAAGGTGTGTTTTTCGCAGAGACTTAGTAGCTCATGTGTGTGTGACCTTTCATCTGTGCTACCTCAGGGGATTGTTTCAGCTATAACATTATTTGCTACATTCTTCCATTTTGTATGCCTTAGGTTGAAATCACCAAGCAGTAAGATGTTTGGGGATGGAGCTGGAAGGTTTTCCAGACAGTAATCAATTTTCAGTAGCTGTTCCTTGAACTGTTGTGAGGTTGCATCTGGTGGCTTATATACAACCACAATGAGTAGGTTTTGGTTCTCGATCTTTATTGATAGAACTTCAACTACCTCATCTGTGGTGTTCAGCAACTCCGTGCAGATGAGAGACTCTTTGACATACAGGCCAACCCCCCCCCCTTGTTGCCTGTTCATTCTGTCACATCTAATAAGGTTGTAACCACTTATCCATATTTCACTGTCAAAGTGATCTTTTGTGCGAGTCTCTGTGAAGGCTGCAAACATTGCATTAGACTCCTCTAAAAGTCCACTGATAAAAGGTATTTTGTTGTTGGTGGATGGCTTAAGGCCCTGTATATTAGCAAACATGAACGAGGTTGTATTCTGTGTTTGTTGGGGGGATTTTGTTATTGGCATTAGTAGTTGTAATTCTGAAGGGCCATGGGTGGCCACTGGCTGCGCCTCCAGTCCAAGGCTCCAAGGTGGTGGACTATTTTTATTTCCTTCCATTTTCTTTTTTCCGTTTCCTGCCACTAAAAAATCACCTGAAGTTGGGCTGTCGTAGCTAATATTGTTTGTCTTGTGGGGTCTGTGCCTCCTGGTCCCTTTTAGATGGTATGCAGGGCAGTCGATGTTGTAACACTGCTTCTGGAGGACCGAGGAGTGACACATTTTTGGGTGAAAGAAAGTACAGGAAGAAGAACGACACACTCCTTTAGACAGGAGGTCGCTACATTTTTTGGGATGCTCAAAGCTGGACGAAGAGCTTGCTGTACTTACGAGGGAGAGACGTTCACTGAGGGATTTCCAACTCTACGTAGATTCTCTGATTCACATTGGATTTTCCATGCCCTAGATCTTCCTCGCTATGCAGGCACAGTAACCCTTTACGTGCGGGCAGAGCCGGATTAAGATTTTGTAGGTCCCTGGGCTACAGGTACTGTGAGGGCCCCCAGTGATATTTTCAAAAGGAAAAAAAAAGTTAAATAAATTTATTTTGACAAGGCTAACCACAATTAAAATTCAAACATTTGCTTTGTGCAATTTCTTGGAAACAAACTTCTCCAAAACATCAGAAAATGGTAAGTTACTGAGAACATCTCCGGAGGCCCTCCAGCTGGCGGAGGCCCCTGGACTGCAGCCCCTAAAGCCCATGCCTTAATCTGGCCCTGCAAGCGGGATATGAACCGCGGCACAAGCATCCTGCTGTCTTCTGAGTATCCCCTGAGAGAAAAGTTCACAGTTTTTAAGACTATTAGACATTTCCTTTTCATACTAACTGATAAAGTTCAGACAAAATACTGCTGATATAAAGGGTTAGAGATGAGCTACAATACTGACGTATGACCGTCTAGGGCTGGTCTCGAAGTACACGGAAATTCCTAAGTCACAAAGAAATGAAGAGGATCTTTCATGACACCGGGAAGATAACATTAGTTACCAGTTCCGTTTTAAGAAAATTGCCTCTTTAGTGTAGACTTTCTGAAATGGGCGATACACTCACAGATTTCAATGATCTTTTCACTCCTGATACATGCAGAGTTTTTATGCGCGAGCTTGAAGCAAGAGGAGAGCAGAGCAAGATGTTCTTCGAAAATCACCAGGTCAAGTGAACTTCGGCTATGGAAGAGCCGACCAAAAACCAAGAAATACCTTTCTCACGCTCTACACCCACACACCGCCCTCCCCCACACTCATAACATGTTCACCTTTACCACGTACTAGTAACTATCAATTCTGGTCACGTCTCTCTGGAATGTCCAAATTTTTTCCCAGGGAAAAAAATTCTCCCCCCCCTACCCGTGGTTGCGAACCCCTCAGCTTCATATGGGTTTGCCAGGACGGGTCCTGGTCCAGGTATTCTCCATGTGGTGACCCGGCAGTAGCTCCCGAAGGAGTGCCGGAGTTTGTACAAGTGATACACCGTTTACAGCCCTATGACAATTCATGCGAACTCTTGAATTAGATAAGCTACTCTTGCAGCCAGGCTTCTCTCACAAGACAGTTAAATAAATCTGGATATGGAAGTTAATGAAGCAAATTTAATTAGCAGTTTTAAAAATAGATAAAATAAGATCGAAGCAGCTATGAACCAGAAATGTCTGTCGATGAAGGTAGTAGATGGTGCCAGAAAGAATACTCGACCCCTACCAAACAGAAAGCAGCGAACACAAAGGCGGCGTAGGTATATATAAACGGAGTGAGGATGGAGGACACTCAGTAGACAAGTGACCGTCATTCAGTGTTATAATGTGGGTGTTGGCGCTGTTCGTGAGTACGACACTCGTTGCTTCCATCACCTCAACACAACACACTGACAGTAAGTTATCTACCCTCATATTTATCACATCTTCAAAGAAACTCGTCAAATAATAAACATTATTTAAATAAAGTGTTTTTGACTGTCATCTACGATGTTTTGTGGATCGTCTCGCATACCTGGGGTCAGGTAGCAGAAATTTCAGTTTCTTGAACAAAAATCCAGAAAACAAGCAAATCTTTGAGGTTCACGAGGTTTGGTACACACGTGGTGAAGCGGCACGTCAGTTACCCCGTCTTATATTATTTTTCCCCTATAATCTACCTTGTCCATAATTACTATCGCATTTGCTTTGAGCATCGCTCAGACCTCTGCAACACCATTATCCTCAAAGACTTGTTAAGTTATACCATGAAAGGTCCTAGACTACACCTTACGAAAGCAGACAGAACAAGGTAGATTATAGGGAAAAAATAAACACTAGGAGACAGGGAAACTCAGATGCCTCTCTCAAGTGAATCAGTCACACTTGGGAAAGTTCACTATATGTAAATTAAAATTCTTGTACCTCTGATAATAAAGATTCCTCTGTTTTCTGGAATGTTTTTATCCCTTGTATCCAGGTTGTATGGTCAGTATTACCGACAAGTATGGTGAGAAAACACTATACAGAAAAACCTTCGTTATGCACCGTTTCACCCTAGAGGGGACACGTCTATCACCCTAAAGGGGACACGTCTATCACCCTAAAGGGGACACGTCTATCACCCTAGAGCCTAGAGGGAACACGTCTATCACGCTAGAGGGAACACGTCTATCATTCTAGAGGGGACACGTCTATCACCCTAGAGCAGTGGTTCCCAAACTTTTTCAGCTTGTTACCCAATTTAACATGCCACATAAAGCATGTTACCCCTTTCACAAAATGTTGTTATTATTGATATATATGGCTAAACGTGAACGTATACAGCCTCGCATACTCCGCTAATCCTAGGAAAACCATTGAAAACGTAAGAACCACACATACATTATATATATAAATTAATAATAGCTACAAATTCACAGTAACAGTGGGTAAATACTAACTATATACTGCACAGGGCAGTACACATACATACCAGCTTATGTCTACCTCGGCTGATGCTCACAGATAAACTGACAGTGTGAAATAGAGGCAGCCTCAGGAAGCGAGTGACGCGTACTGGACAGATCGATCTGGGCTACTGAGTGACTTTTGTCCTGAAGCATACTTGTCAAAATACTTTTTTTTTTTTTTTTTTTTTTTTTTTTTTTTTTTTTTATTCGCCGGTATTCTCCCGGCCCGGGTCTTTTCCAAGTAGTGGTGACCCGGCCTTGGCTCCCTATCTGGGGAGTGTCTCGAGACTTAAGTCTCCCATGGGAGGAGGTACAAGTACCCCCTCATCTTGGGACCAAGTGTCCCCAGGCCTAGCCACATTCCCCGCCCTCACGGGGCTCGTAGGTTTTTGGTTTTCCACACACTTAGCTATATATTTCTTCTTTTCTAATACAGTATATTAGTTTTTGATGTTTATTGTTATTTGGTTTAACTTTATTACTTACTTATAATAGGTTTACTTTACAACTTTATATACTAAGACAAAGTTAACAATAATCCTCATACCGGGTACCACATTGTTTTCTTGATTTTCAGAATTCATAACTTTTTTTCTGTCACCCCTCCATTACCCCCAAAAATGGTTAAATTACCCCCAGGGGGTAATTTACCCCCAGTTTGGGAACCACTGCCCTAGAGGGAACACGTCTATCACCCTAGAAGATACACGTCTATCACCCTAGAGGGAACACGTCTATCACCCTAGAAGGTACACGTCTATCACCCTAGAGGGAACACGTCTATCACCCTAGAAGATACACGTCTATCACCCTAGAGGGAACACGTCTATCACCCTAGAAGATACACGTCTATCACCCTAGAGGGGACACGTCTATCACCCTAGAAGATACACGTCTATCACCCTAGAGGGAACACGTCTATCACCCTAGAAGGTACACGTCTATCACCCTAGAGGGAACACGTCTATCACCCTAGAAGATACACGTCTATCACCCTAGAGGGAACACGTCTATCACCCTAGAAGATACACGTCTATCACCCTAGAGGGGACACGTCTATAATAAGAGTTTGCTCCACCAATCTTTTCTTGCGTATCAATAATAGAAAATAAAAACAAATAACTTAAGATACAAAATGCGGTTTATGGTATTTTACCGAGAAGAGTTTTTAACAATTCGCATTTATGACATTAAGTAAAATTATGTCTGAAGGAAAACGTGTTTCAGGATCAGCGTTGTAATAAATAAAACATTTAATGACCTGAATGAATAGTTCTCTTTTAGTGACTTGAATTAAATAATGTGCGAGAGTGAGAGAGAGAGAGACTGAGGGGGAAGGGGAGACTATTCTTGCATAGTATTTACTAGAGGGCCGGGTAGATAGGATACTGTGTATTACACTACATATTTATATCAACGCTTCAGTGAAAACTCTGTCACCATTGTTAGAATTCTCTAAAAACAGACACCATAATGTCAGATCCACAACACACAAACTAGTCTACGTTACTCAAAAAACGACAAGATTTAAAATAAACATACACATACTAGGCACAAGACGCCGTTGCTTTGCTTGCCAATACAAAGGTACCCAGTCACCGGCATTAGAAAATAAGTAAAAACACTAATGAAATAAAGGAAAGTAGGAACTATAACTTGTTTCAGGGTGAGAAGGTTTACAAAACAAGTATATACTATTAACTTTCAATGATTTTTAAATCTAAGCTGGTGTTCTGTACTTACAGTTTTAAGGGGCGCGTCATTTCCCATGTCTTCTAGTATCATGTTTATTTTTCCCCTATAATTGCTATCGCAAATGTGATGGTAATTATGGACAAGGTAGATTAAAGGTGGGAAATAAACACGATATTAAGAGACAGGGAAACTCAGGCGTCCCTTAAAACTCTCAGCCAATATTTTGTGACTGTTGGTTTCATAGTGAATTCTGATAGATGACCAAAGTGTGTTAGTGGTGTTAGACACCTATATTATAGTCCTCTGTTTACACAAATTCTTGTGTATAAACTGTGGAAGGTGCCTCCCATATATTTATTGCAACATTATAATCATAACTAAGTGCTAAACCCACAAGGGTTCTACAGTCCTGCATTTAATGCTACAGTTAGACAATCACATCACATTTTATCATGAAGATACAATAGTGTTTTCACAAAAATTAACTTTAATTTTATTTGGTAGTAACTGATAAAGAGAACTTCGGAACATTGTTCGCGAGTTTTTTTTGACTCAGGTTAATGTAAAAAAAAAAAAAAAAAAAAAAAAAAAAAAAAAAAAAGAGGTAGTTTAATGTAACGAACTTCTTTAGGAACTGTAACGTAGTATTTGTTCAAAGAATTCTTGTTTTTGTGTGCGCGGGTAAGTAGTAGTAGTCAAAGACACTTGTCGATAGACACTTGATCTCGTGTGTGTGTGTGTGTGTGTGTGTGTGTGTGTGTGTGTGTGTGTGTGTGTGTGTGTGTGTGTGTGTGTGTGTGTGTGTGTGTGTGTGTAAATAATTACCGTGTACATATACACATGAATCATTCATTCTTCCAGGCACTAGTGTTTACCAGGGTAATAAACACATTTAACCGAGTTAACCAGAGACGAACCAAGTGCAAAAGGTCAGGGTTGGGAGTCTTACCAGATACTTTTTTTTTTTTCCCCTAAGAGGCCAATTACTGGTGTTTAAAATTAGTTAAACTGCTAAAGTATGATGTACTAACAAGTGCCAATGAGGAGAAATTTGGTGAGAGTAAAGTACATATACACGAAGTAGTCAAGGTTGCTGATGCTTGAGGCAGCTTATTTTAACAACACTTAGTTAACTGCTGGCATTACGTTATTCTGTATGACAGTGAACAACCTCACTGTTACGCTTTTATGACAGGGAACCTCACTGTGCTAATTTTACACTATTCTATATGACAATGAACACCCAAATTGTGATGTTACACTATTCTACATGACAGTGAACAATTTTACTGTGTTGATGGAAGATAAGTAGGTGGAGCAGACTATTGGTCAGTCTTGGTCAAGTCTGAGTACTTTACAGTTTACGGCAGATTCTCCTCACTTATTACAACGCTGTGCTGTCTTAGATAAGAGATAAGATTTCGTTCGGATTTTTAACCCCGGAGGGTTAGCCACCCAGGATAACCCAAGAAAATCAGTGAGTCATCGAGGACTGTAACTTATTTCCATTGGGGTCCTTAATCTTGTCCCCCAGGATGCGACCCACACCAGTCGACTAACACCCAGGTACCTATTTGCTGCTAGGTGAACAGGACAATAGGTGTAAGGAAACGTGTCGGAATTTCCACCCGCCGGGAATCGAACCCGGGCTCTCCGTGTGTGAAGCGAGAGCTTTAGCCACCAGACCACCTTTTTCACTAAGAATTTCTAGAAAGATATCCTATAAACCATACTTTGATAGCAACCGTATGCCATGCAGTTTATGATAATGCTTAGATATAATGCTACATGACGGCCTTCTAGAATATATTAGTGGCACATTTATTATAACTTGACAGGAGCCACATACATCCATCTGTTATTGTTTCATTATGGGTGCCTACCAGAGAAGCTAAAACTTTCCTACATAAAGACCATTTGGTCACGAGTATTATCTCTCAGAAACCGCTTTAACAAAAGTTCTTTAAGTGATCGACCAAACATTAAATATCAAAATTTACTTTAAGTCGTCTTATGAGGATGTTTTGATAAAAAATACTTCTTTTTTCAGATGAGGATGGTTTCTCACATTGGGCACAAATTCCCTCGGCAGCCTGGGAAGACGGGGACCTGGAAGACGATGACATCTTTCTATCTAAAGACCTAATCGAGTGGCTACACCAGAACTCGGACGTCCTAGAGAGCACGCAGGAGACAGAGAACATAATTGAAATGCTTGCTTCTGGTGAAGCCGATAAATCTCTCACAGACATACTTAAGATCTGGTTTCATAATCTGGATAACGTCCTCAAATCTGAGAACCATGCAGACGACAAAGACGAATTTCTTGAGGATCTTGAAAACGCTCTTAAAGAACGTGTTGAACACAAAGAAAATATAGATCTTTTAGACGCTACTGACTTGAGCGAGGAGTCTGAAGAAGCGTCAGATAAGAAGCTGTTGAAGAAACTGGTGTCAGCCATCGACAATGATTGTGATGACGAAAGATGTGAGGATACACCCATTGCCGACTCTTCCACCGAAGACATAGTACTGCGAAGAAACAAGAGGTCACCAGCACGAGTGAGATCCAGCTCCAGAAGGTCGGGATCACGTAGTTCCGGCAGCAGCTGGCTCGGAAAACGTAAAAGTACCTCGAAACCAAGTAGTAGTAGTAGTAGTAGCAGCAGCAGAAGCAGCAGCAGCAGCAGCAGCAGAGGTAGTAGCAGTACTGGTTCAATAGGTGGGTCTTCAGGAACCAGGGTTACTTCCGCTACAGGAGCTGCTGCAGGTGCTGGAGCCACAACAGGTGTCAGTGGGTCAGGATATCCATCTGGTATTAAACCGGGAGGAGGGTACCCTACAGGCTCTCAGCCGTCTCCAGTGTATCCATCGGGTACTAATCCAGTTGGTGGATATCCCACAGGAACGAAACCAGTTGGAGGTTACCCTGCTGGAGGTTATCCTACAGGAACGCATCCTGCTGGAGGTTATCCTACAGGAACGCATCCTGCTGGAGGTTATCCTACAGGAACGCATCCTGCTGGAGGTTATCCTACAGGAACGCATCCTGCTGGAGGTTATCCTACAGGAACGCATCCTGCTGGAGGTTATCCTACAGGAACGCATCCTGCTGGAGGTTATCCTACAGGAACGCATCCTGCTGGAGGTTATCCAACAGGAACGCATCCTGCTGGAGGTTATCCTACAGGAACGCATCCTGCTGGAGGTTATCCTACAGGAACGCATCCTGCTAGAGGTTATCCTACAGGAACGCATCCTGCTGGAGGTTATCCTACAGGAACGCATCCTGCTGGGGGTTATCCTACAGGAACGCATCCTGGAGGGTATCCTTCAGGAAATCAACCTGCCGGTTGGAATCCTACGGGAAATCAGCCTGGTGGGGGATACCCTGCTGGAAACCGACCTATTGGCTGGAATCCTAATGCACAACCTAGTGGGGGATATCCTACAGGAACTCAACCAGTCCCAGGATATCCTGGCGGAACTCGCCCCTTCGGCAGCTATCCGACTGACAATCGGCCTAATATTTATCCTAGTTACATTCGGCCTCCCCCTAGTTATCTCGGCGCAGGTCAACCATATGGTGGGTTCCCCACGGCAACCAGACCTGGTGGTTACCCGATGGCTGGTATGTCCGCTGGAGCCACGGCTGGAGGATTTGGCGGATACCCGGTGGGAGGATACCCCATGCCGAAGAAGACAAAGAAAGGGAAGGTGAAGGAGGTTATTGAGAAAGCAGTAGCAGGCTACGCATTACACAAGGCCTCCAAGAAGAACAAATTCCTCTCTCCCTCCCTCCTGTCCGGGTACGGTCACGGGTTCGGCCACGGCGGGTTGGGCCACGGCGGGTTGGGCCACGGCGGGTTGGGCCACGGCGGGTTCGGCCACGGTGGGTTCGGTAAGCTGGCTGCGGGCGGCTTGGTCGGCGGACTCGCCGCTGGAAAGGCTGGCAAGATCGCCAAGAAGTTACTAGGAGCCTACGTCAAGATCCAGATCGCAAAGTACGCTCTCAAATTCGGAGCGGAGGCAGCTAAGGCGTACTTTTTGTACAAGATGGGCCTGGAACTGGATGAGTACATGATTGGAAAGTTCGTACACCGGTACCACCAGCACAGAGTGAGGGGCGACAACCGCTGGCAGTACTATCAACACCACAACCGCAAGAACATGAACTCGGTAGCAGACAACATCACACTAGGTAAGGAACTATTTACACCACAATGGATGAAGCGAGAGGTTGAGGGACTGGAAAAAGGAAACGAAAAGAGAATAGGAGAGGTCTAGCGATAGGAGGGAGAAATTATTAGTCAACAGAGAGCCTGTGGAAAGGTTTTCAATTATGTCGGGTAATGTATTTGTATGTATGTGTTGTAATTTATATATATATATATATATATATATATATATAATATAATAAAATATATATTATATATATATATATATATAGGGGGAGAGAGAGAGAGAGAGACAGAGAGAGAGAGACAGAGAGAGAGACAGAGAGACAGAGACAGAGAGAGTCGTGACAATATATGCAGTGTTAAGTAAAAGGGCACAAGTGCAACTAATGTGACATTTTGTGGCAACGTTTCGCTCTTCAAAGCTTTGTCAAGTTTGACAAAGCTACTGGAGAGCGAAACGTTGCCACAATATAATGTCACATTAGTTGCACTTGTGTCCTTTTACTTAACATACTGTCGGTAATTCCACCAACATTAATACAATATATACAGTGTAAGCAGCTCTCAGAACTCACCACGGGGACGTGGCCGCTCCTAGAGTTCTATAGCGAGATTTGAGTGTGACTAGTTAGGTAAAACAAATATAAATGTATGTATCTAGTGCAGGAAGAGACATTAACGTTATAAGAGTGCAGGATTCCCTTAGTAATATGCCAGACTCCTTCATTATGCAATAATCAGCAGCCTAACAGACAAACATACCACTGTCACAGTTCAAAGTATAAACATACCACTGTCACAGTTCAAAGTATAAATATACCACTGTCACAGTTCAAAGTATAAACATACCACTGTCACAGTTCAAAGTATAAATATACCACTGTCACAGTTCAAAGTATAAACATACCACTGTCACAGTTCAAAGTATAAATATACCACTGTCACAGTTCAAAGTATAATCATGCCACTGTCACAGTTCAAAGAGCAACATGACAAGCCTGAAGAACGCAAACACACACTATTTTCCAAGACTTTAACAAGTCAATTACCGAGTCATTCAGGAAACAGCAGACATTAAATGTACTCTTTCTTTCGCGGACATCTTGCGCAGTTAAGACTCAATGAAGAGAATTAAGCAGTGGGTCTTGAGAGATGATAGTGACGGTAGTGGTAGTGGTGGTGGTGTTGACGTTCGTGATGACGGTGGTGGTGGTGGTGGTGCTGACGGTTGTGGTGGTACATTCTATTGATCTACAGCTCGAAAAAACAATCCTATGTTCTTTCAACAGCAGATTTTTCTCTACACTTACGCTAAGTGTCCCACCCTCTTGTTGCTCCTGTTGAATGTGCAAATTCTCTTGATCTCGTCTGATAACCTTACATGACCTTGCACTGCATGATTATGTAGTCATGACTTTCTTTCATCCTTCCAGCAGAGTAAACATTAATTTTAGTCGATTAGTTACGCTTGTAAGGGTCGAGTCGAGGAGACGTTTCGCCATCTAATGGCTCTATTGATGCAATGTTAGTCACTGGCTGGCGAAACGTACCCTAAATGCTCTAGTAACAGCATGCGTCTTTTTTTGCATGTTTGTGTTAATCACTTATCTCAGGGTCGAGTCATCGCTCCTGGCACTACTGATACCTGACCTACAGGACACGATCAAGCGATGAAACATGTCTACCTTCAACACCTCTTCATCTAGACTGGTGAACCAGCCCTAGAGTAAAACACTTTCTTAGCGTGCCAAGTGTTCATCAGTGTCTGTTACTATAGCTGCTGGTCAGTCACTCATCTCATCTCAGTTTTTTCTCTTCATAATTCTCCAAGTATTTCATACATATGATCAAGTCTTCCCTGGTCTTCTCTTTTTGGGTTAGGTTGAGTACTCAAATCTCTCCTTGCAATATGTTCCCCTTTACTTCTAATACCAATCTCGTTGTGTACTTTAGTATTCTCTCTAGTTTCTCTATTTTTTGTTCAGTAATATGTCTATATTGGCGCCTCGTACTTTAAGATCCGTATAAGATTTTTTTTTTTAATGTTCCTGACAACTGTTATTAGCTTCTCTAATTTTGTATGTTCTAGTGATAAGTATAGTGCGATGCATTTTTTTCCAGTCTTTATATACCGAGTGCCGTTTTCTTCCTTGTGTATGTTAAGTAAAAGGACACAAGTTCAACTAATATAACATTTTACTGTGGCAACGTTTCGCTCTCCAGGAGCCTGATAAAATTGTTACCTTGTGTGTGATCTCGATGCCTAGTTTATCTTCATCGCTTTTATTATCATGAAATTCCCGTAGCTACCCATAGTGGCATTTGCTTTTCAATGTTATGAATACAAAATTCCCTAAGTTCGCTTTTAATGTTTCTGTACGATTTTGGAAATTAAACTGTGTTATATACATTACTATCAATATTTAAAGTTCAGTGAAGCATGACTGGTAATGTGGCCGCAAGGCCACTCCACTGAAGCCAATTTGGTCACTGGATACCCAACATTATCACCGTCACTACGAGTACACTCGCCTACTCAGAGCTGTGAGAAGTGCACAATGAGAGACCAAAGGAACAAACCTGGTGGCAATTTTATGAGAAGGTAAAATAAAACATAAATATGACACTAAGGGTACCAAGCTCATAGGGGCAGACTAGACAGTAAGGTAACTTGGACACTCTTATGAACTATTAAAACAAAGGTTAATATCAGAGATTATGAGGTACGTTTCAGTCCATGGTAGTCGAGAAGG